GAGATAATAGTTGTAAGAAGTGCTTAGCTCCGAGCCTGAAACATAGTAGTCACTATATAAATGCTTATTCCCTATCCCCCTTCCCTCTCTCCCCTAGGATGAGTTGGAGAGAGAGAGATTGGAAGCAGAGAGATGTTAGGAGGCTTTTGTAGCCTGAACTCAGATGGGTATAGTGGGAATGGAAACAAACACTGAAATGATCACAGCTCTCAAATATTGTGTTAGAGAATCAAGACACCAAAAGAAAATAATTGATGTGCAAGATGACAGATCTCAAAACGGTCATTTCTTGGGTTATATACGTGGGTCCATAGGTGAGCAAGGATCATATTACTCTTAGAATGAATTTAAATGCCTAGTGTTGCACCATCGTGGGTCAAAGGGAGACAGGCCAATTTTCCCAGGGCTTAAAAGTCATCATTTGTAGAAAGATCCCAAAACTTGGGAGTTGGGAGATACAGGATATAGATGTAGCTTTACCACTGATTGTGTTACATCTGAAAAGTCATTTAACCTGTCTAGGCCTGTGTTTCCTTATTGGGTAATGATATCCGCCCTATCTACCCCATAGGGATGTGATTGATAACAAATGAGGTAAGGGAAATAAGTAACTTTGAAAAGTTAAAAGCTCCAGAAATGTAAGACATTAATACTAATGGCAATAAAATAACAATAATAATAAAAACATTTCCTAAAGCTGAGCCAAGGGAACAATATACATAAGGACTACAATGGTCTAAAAGGAAACAACAGTAAAAAGTCATCAGGATTCCAATTAAATGCGAAGCCAATTCTGGTTCCAGAGGACTGGGGATAAAACAAGCTTCTCCCTTCTTGGTGAAGAGGTGATGAATGATTGCAAAAGGCTGCACATGCCTTGTGGGGCCTAATCGTGTTTGACTAGATTTGCTTTACTATTCTTCTTTATTATAAGGGAGGATTCTATGGGTGGGAGGGAAGAGAACGGGGAGGGAGACAGAAATCTCCGGAAAATGAATACGATGAAAAAACAAAAAGCATCAGTAGCCCATGGTTAGCATGGCCCCAGCAAGGGCCTCCAAGGTCAGCTAGACCCAGATTCTATCCTGGGATCCCTGACCTCAAAGAGTTTGATTTCTATTTGCTTCTCTATATGTTTCTGCCACTACCCTGGAGTAACTCCAGGGAAATTTCTAAAAAACAAAGCTTAGATATGGCTATGGCTGCCCAAAAATGTGGGTTAAAGGGGTCTGGAAAAGATACTTAATGGACAATAGGGGTATCAGGGGTAGAAGAGCTGTGTACTTCCTCTGCCAAAGAAAATGCATAATATTCAAAAGAACTAATGAACAGATACAGAAAACAGAAAACAATTAACCTATTACACTCATTACATCACCTCCCTACTCTCCCTATTCCCAACTCCTTGGGAGATGCCCCAGTTCAACAAGTCCTTCTGATTACCTTGGCACACATCAATAAAACACTAAAAATAATTTTTCTATAAAAGATGCTCTAAACTTCATATGCTATATGAAAAATATTTGAAGGAAATGGAAATGTTTAGCAAAGAGATGACTTAAAGGCAGGATGTATGATTGTGTGGTGCAGTGGAATGAGCTCCAGATTTGAAAGAAGAAGAACTGAGTTTGAATCTCAGTTCTGCTTTTTACCATCTGTATAACCTTGGAAAAGGTAGCTAGGTGTTGAAGTGGATAGAGTGCATCTTCATGAGTTCAACTCTGGCCTCAGACACTAGTTTTGTGACCTTGGACAAGTCACTTAGTCCTGTTTGCCTCAGTTTCCTCATCTATAAAATGAGCTGGAGAAGGAAATGGCAAACCACTCCAGTATATTTTGTCAAAACCTCAAATGATGTCACGAAGAGTCAGAAATGACTGAACAACAACAACAAATAACTTTGTACAAATTGCCTTCAGTTTCATCAAGAGACTCAACTTTTTTAGCTTTTATTTAGAATTTTATTTTTCCCCAGTTACAGATAAAGACAACTTTTAACATTCGTTTTTAAAACTTTGAGTTCCAAATTCTCCCCCCTCTTTCCTCCCCACCCTACCCCCATTGAGAAAGCAAGTGATTCGATATAGATTATACACGTGTAGTCATGCAAAACATATCCATAATAGTCATGTTGTGAAAGAAAACATAGACAAAAAAAAATCAAGAAAAACAAAGTTATAAAAAAAAGTATGCATCAATCCATATTCAGACACCATCAATTCTTTCTGTGGGGATGGATAGCATGTTTCATCATAAGTCCTTTAGAGTTGTCTTGGATTGTTGTATTGCTGAGAATGACTAAGTCATTCACAGCTGATCATCTTACAATATTGCTATTACTTTGTACACAATACATTTTACTTTGCATCAGCCAATGCAAGTCTTTCCAGGTTTTTCTGAGAGCATCCTGCTCATTATTTCTTATAGTACAATAATATTCCATCATAATCACACACCACAACTTACTCAGCCATTCCCCAATTGATAGGCATTCCCTCAATTTCTAATTCTTTGCCCCCAAAAAAGAGTTACTATAAATATTTTTGTACATATAGGTCCTTTTCCTTTTTGGGGTACAGACTTAGTAGTGGTATTGCTAGGTCAAAGGGTATGCATGGTTTTATAGAGCCTCAATTTTGAGAGGCAGTGGAAAGACAATTGGGTTTGGAGTCAGAGGAGTTAGGTTGCAAATCCTGGCTTTGCTACTTATTCCCTGAGTGACCTTTGGTAAATCACTTACCCAAGGCACTTTCTGGGTCTCGGTTTTCTTTTCTTTTTGGGGAGGGGGGTAGCAATTGGGGTTAAGTGACTTGCCCAGGGTCACACAGCTAGTGTCAAGTGTTTGGTCTGAGGCCATATTTGAACTCGGGTCCTCCTGACTTCAGGGCCAGTGCTCTATCCACTGTGCCACCTAGTTGCCCTCAGGTCTCGGTTTTCTTATCCGTACTCTGAGGGAGGTGGGTTAGATGACCCTTATGGTCCCCTTCAACTCTTAATCTATATTTCTATGATCCCTGCCTTATTTATGGAAGTGGGAGTAAGTTTATTCTGTGCTGTTCTATAAAAGAGATACAAGACCAATAAATCAGGAGACGTTACAGGAGAAGCAAATTTCTAGTATTCCTAGAGAATGGTGCAACAAGAGAAAGTGCAGGCAAGCGGTGGGGGAGTAAGTGAGCTCCCTGTCATTGAAAATGTTCAAGCAGGACATTATTTATTAGTGATTTTGTAGATGCTCTCTAAAAGTCCAACTGGAAAAGTCTCTAATTCTTTAACTCTATAACATCTATAGCTAGCCCAGAGTTATGACACTGGACGTGTCTTTATTTAATCATTGTACATGAATGCAAAGCAAATCAACCCCAGACTTGTTGAATCCATCCTGTTTTATACCCTGGGACCATCACACACAATCTCACTGAAATGGCAATAGGAGCATATTGACTCCTATGGGAGGTCAAGGTATGCTTTTCTTTGCCCGGACACCTTCAGAGCCAATGGCCCAAACCAAGTCACAGGGTGAGGTGGGGAGAGGATGGAGGCTGGGAAATACACAATGAAAATGTTGACTGATTAATTTGTTACAAGTGCAAGAGTTTAGCCATATGGCTACCACCATTGCTGAGTGATGGGTTTTACCCGGGGCAGGATGAGCACAGTACAAGATTCATGGCCACTGGGTCAGAGGGCACAACAGGCATTGGGGACACAGAAAGGTCATTGGGGAGGGGTAGGTGACAAAGTCAGGGCAGAGGATCGTCCTTACTACTGTAGTGATGAAGAAGTCATGGGAGTCGTATTATATATACTCCTCAGTGGCTGAGTTCCTGTTTTTCTGGAAATACCCCTCACTTTGAAAGAAGGCCAGAAAACGGGATATTCACATTCACATGGGCTCTCTTTGGTGCTACCTTGGTTCAGATGAGAGCCTCAAACATCTTTGTTTTATATCTTGAAGCTCTTCATACAGAAATGGCTGTGGTAGGTGATTTCACTTCAGAATCTTTTTACAAGAATATTAGCAATGATATCTCACATTTACCTAACACATTTAGGTTTGTATAACATTCTGTCCATAACAGTTCTGTGAGGTGGACATTGTAAATATCATTACTACAATTTTACAGATGTGGAAACTGAAGTCCAATGAGGTAAAAATGACTTGCCCAAGGTCACTCAACCGTTAAGTGTCAGAACCAGGATTTGAAGTTATACCTTCCAGTTCCCGGTCCAACGCACCTTCCACCGTACCAGGTGTACCACTCCACTTTTCCCACCAGAAAGACTATGTGACCAAAGACCCACATACTTAGCCCTAACATGAGTTGGGACACCTAATCCCTCTAAGGTGCTGAAGTGTCTACTGCCCAGATATCTGAGGTTGGGAATACTCCTCACATAATGTTCCACAACACTAATGACAAGATAAATGTCAACTGAAACAACTATGAGGTTTCACCTAACAACCAGCAAAGTGGCATTATAAAAGATGATGAGGGTCTATGTTGGAGAGGCTGCAGGGAGACAGGTAAACTAATAATACACTGTTAGTGGATCTGTGAATTGGTCTAATGATTCTGGAAAACAATTAGGAATTACACCAGAAAATTCAATGAACTGTTTTCAGCCATTGACCCAGAGATCCTACCATTGGTCATTTATTCTAAGGAGATCAAAGATATAAAGAAAATTCCTATATGTAACAAAATGGTTGTAGAAGCATTTTTCCTGGTAGCAAAACAAACAAAATTGGAAACAAATGACTGCCCATTGAATGTAAAGTGGCTGAGCAAATGAATTTTTTTGGGCCATAAGAAACAATAAACATATTTTCTTTCACTTTATTTTTATTGCTTTAAAAAATACATGGCTAAAGTAGAAATCCATTTTGCGTGACTTCATATGTGTAATGAGTATCATATTTCTTGCCTTCTCAGTGAGTGCGGAAGGGACTTGAGGGAAAGAGTTCACAACTGAAAATAAAAATTTTAAACAGGAAAAAAAAGAATGAATATGAGAATTCAGAGAAACATGTGTAGACTTATATGAACTGATGCAGAGTGAAGTCTGCAGAAGCTGGAAGCCATGTATTCAATTGCTACAAGAATGTAAACTCTAAAATTAAGTTAAACACTACATAATCATAATAGCCAATCTTGGCCCCAGAGAAGAGATGAGAAAATGGGTCCTCTTTCTTTCATTAGAGAGGTGGGAATCTGTGGGTGCAGAATGTTGCATACATAATCAGATATGGTATCAGCAACAGATAGTTTCGCTTATCTCTTTTTCTGTGCTACAAGGCAAGAGTCACTGGGTTTAGGGAAAGGGTAAAATCTGGAAATGACTATGATATGAAAACAAAAGGAATTAATAAAACCTTCATTAAAAATAGCACTAATAATAACCAGGTGGTCTTCGTGGCCCTGTAGGACCCTCAGAGTAACTTGTGATCTGCTACTCTGTAAAGAAGAGCTTTATTTAGGCCTCTCTCTCGCTGTCCTCTCTTCAGATTTCTTCTTCCTAGTGTTGTTCTATTGTTCTCGCACAAATTCCTCCTGCTTCCTGTGAGACTTCATTCAGGAACTCTCTGGCAACTGGAGGAAATGGTTGTGTGTGAACTTTCAAGACTGGGTCCCCCTCCCAGCGCCTGCCTCCTCTGGGCTGGCTCAAATCTCCCTTCCCTGCCTAGATATCTGTAGGATACAGAACCATGAGACGGACCTCCCCCAGGGCCCTGCTCACCGAACCGGCATGCACAGCTCTCCTGCCTGCATTCAGACTGGGGTTCAGCAGGGATTATTAGGAAGAGCCAGAGCCTATCATGCTTTGCTGCTGCCCTGGGTCTTTCCAACAGCTCGAAGATGCCTGGTGCCACCAATCACACGCCTTCCGGAATATTATCAGTAATATCAAAGTGTACATTGGAGCTGGGCAAAGCATTGAAATCAGAGGGATAAACAGGAACGCTCCTTTTCCATCATTTCCAGGAAAGGAACGGGGATTTAGCTGAAGATACTAGATATGTCTCCACTAATGTCCAATAGCTATCCAATACCCATTAAAAGGCTGTGGCGCACAATGAAAATGCCACTGGATTTGGAGACAAGGGGACATGTTTCTAACCTGGTGTGACTACTTATCATACTTATCAATCCCGTGAGTTTGAACACATCAGGTCACCTCTCTGATGCTCAGGTGGAGGCCACATGGCAGAGTCAATGAAGAGCTGCCCTTGGAGTAAGGGAGACCTGAGTTCAAATACAACCAGCTTGATGACCCTGGCAGGTGACTTAACTCTTCTGTGCCTCAGTTTCCTCACCTGTAAAATGGAAATAGTGGCACCTACTTCACAGGGTTGTTGTGAGGACCAAATGAGATAATACATGTGTAGTGCTTAATAAGCCCTAAAGTTATATATATATAAAGTTATATGCATATATATAAGCTATTATTGTTATTTGTGCTATTTGTGGAAGAGCTCAGATGATCACAGTGTCTTCTCTTTCTAAATTGCTTTGCGCTTTTCAGAGGAGTTTCACATTTATTATTCCATTTGACCTTCACAATCACCTTTTGAATAATCAAATTAAGCCAGAGAGTACACTTCTCAGACAACGAGGAGGAGGAAGAGGAGAAGGAAGAAGTGGAGGAAGATGATAAGAGGCAGAAAAAGGAGTAGAAGAGAATAAGGAAGAGGAGAGAAGAAGCAGAAAGAAGAGGAGAAGGAGGAGGAGAGGAAGAAGAAGGAGAAGAGAATGAGGAGAAAGAGAAGAGAAGTAGGAGGAGGAGGAGAAGAGGAGGAGAAGGAAGGAGAAGGAAGAGAAAAGGTCATACCTACCTGACCAATCCTTGCAATCTCCTTTGGAGGCTTATCATCTATATCAGTGGTATCAAACTCAAAAAGAAATGGGCGTGGGAACGCTAACCCACGTACGAGGGTCCCTGTGGGCACATGTTGAGTTAGTTTTAAAATGTAACATTATCTCTGTTTTATTATATTTGATTTTGTTCATGATTTCCCAATTGCATTTTAGTCTGGAATGGGCTGTGCTCAAGAATATTCTGGCTGCATATTTGGCACCTTTATTCTATATCACATCTTCTAACTGTGGGCATCCCCCAGGGCTCTGGCCTGAGCCCCCTGCTCCCTTGAAACTCTCACACCCAGTGACTTCATCAGTTTTCATGGATTTAATTACTTTTTTTACACAAATGACCCTCAAATCTCTCTATCTAGCCAGCTCTAGTCTCTCTTCTGGGCTCCAAATGTCCAGCTGCCTATTAGATATTTCTGTCTCATGGGAATCTCAAGTCCAAAACTGAAGTCATTATCTTCCCCTCACCCAAGCCCATCCTTCCAAACTTCCCTCTTTGGGTCAAGGGCACCACCATCCTTTCCACCATCCAGGTTTTGATCTGGGCGTTACCCATGATTCCTCACTCTAACCCCACATATACCATTACTTGCCAAGTTTTGTTTGTCCTGCTGCATCTCTTGCATCTGTCCACTACCCCCTACTCCTGTAGCCACTACCTCATTTCAGGCTTTTGTTACCTCTTGCCTGGACTATTAGAATCACCTCTCAATTATTTTCCCTTTCTTCTCCCATCCTTTCTACATACAGGTGCCAAAGTGATTTTCTCAAAGTGTAGGTCTGACCATGTCACTCTCATATTCAGTAAACCTCAATGGCTCTTTGTTATCTTAAGGATCAAATATAAACTCTTTTGTTTGGCTTTTAAAGCCTTTCACACCCTGGCCTCAACCTACCTTCCCAACCTTGTTGTTCAGCCCTCCCCTTCTGGCACTATACATTCCAACCATACTGTCCATTTCATTATCCCTGACACAAGATATCTCTTACCTCTGGGACTTTGCATTGGCTGCTATCCCATCTCTGAAATGCACCCCCTACTCATTTCCACCTCTTACAATCCTTTATTTCCTTCAAAACTCTGCTCAAGAAACTCTCTCTACGTGAAACTTTTCCTGATTCTCCAGCTATCAGTGCTGCTCTCAAAAAATGTATCTCATTTTTATGTTGTATACATTTATGTACATGTTATCTCCCCAAGTGAATGAAAGCTCCTTGAGGACAAGGACTGTTTCATTTTGGTTCCTAGCACAGTGCCCGACACCTCTAGTAGGTATTTAATTGTTTTTGGTTGTTTGACTTACAGAGGGCTGACCTTGGAGTCAAAAAGGCCTGGGTTCGTGCCTGACCTCTGACATGTGCTGGCTCTGTGACCCTAGGCAAGTCATTTAACCTCTCAGCATTCCAGGTAACTTTCTAATCCTAAAAGTGCAGAACAGGTGATGTCTGCATTAGGAAAAAGAGTTTCCTTACTGCAAAATTCCTATACCAATGAAATCATATATCAAATTTAAGTAAGAACAATATTGTAAGAATATTCATTATAAGAAACTATATTATTATAGTATTTTATGTTGTAATTATATCAATTATAAAAAATGAGGAGGAGAAGGAGGAGGAGGAGGAGGAGCAAGAGGAAGAAGAGGAAGAGAAAGAAGAAAAAAGAGAAGGAAGATGAGAATAGAGGAGGCAGAGAAAGAAGAAAAAGGAGAAGGAAAAGAAGAAAATGAGGAGGAGAAAGAAGGAGGAGGAGGAGATGATGATGATGATGATGACATTTGTATAGTTCTTTAATGTTTAATAGTACTATCTTCATGACAAATCTGTTCCATAGTATTAGTGCTACTTATACTCACAGTTTTACATATAAGGAAACTGAGGCTCTGAGACATAAAGAGACTTGCCCAGGGTCACATAGCTAATAAGCTCTTTGAATCCAGGTCTCCTGACTCCAAGGCCAGCACTCTTCTCAGCAAGCAAACTATTTAAATGGCTTGTTTATTTACTGTCTTCACCAAGAGTTATCACCACATCTAAAAAACTGTAAACAACAAAATGTTGTAAGCCACAAATTTGGAAACACAAGAAGCCTCATGCATCATTGCTTGGAGGGCCAGTGTGGGGGAGTCAGGAGGAAAGTGAGCAGGTATCTCACCTCTGTTGTTTATTAACTGTCATCCTGGATAAGCCTCTTAACCTCTCTGACCCTCGGTTTCCTAATCTGTAAATAGGAACGATAAAACCAATAATACTTACATAGGACCGTTGTAAGGATTAAAAGAAACAAATGTCTGAAAAGGAGTTTACAAACCTTGAAGCCCTATAAAAAGGTCACCTCTTGTTGTCTTTTTGTTGGGTCATTTCAGTCGTGTCTGACTCTCTATGACTCTGTTTAGGGTTTTCTTGGTAAAGATACCGGAGTGGTTTGCCATTTCCTTCTCCGTCTCATTTTACAGGTGAGGAAACTGAGGCAAACACGGTGAAGTGCCTTGTCTAGGGTCACACAGCTAGTAAGTGTCTGAGGTTATCTTAAAGTGTCTTGTTCTATTTACCATCACCATTATCAGCATCATTCTCATTATGAACATGTCCTGGTTCACGAGCCTTATTTTAACGAGCTTAACAAGCTCCCTTGAGAACTGAAGCCATAAGTTGTTCCCATTTTATCGATTTTTTTCTTTGTTTCTTTGTTTGACCTCACACACTCCTTTTCTATTCCCTAGTCCCCCCTGCCTTTGTCTTGCATACATGGTAGGTACGTAATAAGTGTTAGTCAAAAGGGAATAAGGAGAGGCAATGAGAACAAAGCATGAGTGTGACCATGATGCCTACAGTCAGTTGGTGGGGTACCAAGAAGAGAACATGGAAGGCAGAGCTCAGGCCATGAGATGAGGGAGAAAGTCAGGCCCAGTGGTGTTAAGCAACATGGACTAGAGGGTAGGGAGGTGGCAGCAGAGGAAGCAACGGTAGCCAAGGGAAGAGATGAGCCATCTGTCCGATGGGGGCTCCTAGCTGTGGGGGTGGGTTGGAAAACCTGATTTCCAAAGAGCTGATGTGAAGGAAGGAACAGGATTTGGCAAAGGACAGCTGATGTAAGCCGTTACTGGAGAGCATCAAGGATGAGGGCCAGGCACCAGGCACAGGAACCCTGGCCTCTGTCCCTGGGCTGGGGAGGGAAACATCTGAGTTCACTGGCCTCGATTCCAGGGGAAATGCAGATGTGGCCAGCTGGAGGGATCCCCAGGAACTCGAGAACTTGTGTCATCTATTAGGAAGCTGGATAACTCGAGAGAGGGTCAACACCAAGGCTTTGTCATTTGCCAGTCTCCAGTTCACAGATTCCCCAGAACACATTAGCTGAAAGGCATATCTTATACATGATCCGCAGCTATTCCAGATTCCTTAGGTTGGCATTCAAGGTCCTCTGTAACCTGACCAGAACCGACTTTTCCTTAGGATTCTTTCTTTGGTTCTTAACTCTAGAAATAGCATCATTGCTCTTCTCTAAATGCATCAGCAAAGAGGCAGCTCAATAGAAGATGATTTTCCAACCATCAAAATTGTCCCACAGCAGGCTCTTGGAAAATGCAAATCTCCCTCCTGCCTTTAAGCTCCAAGGCACCTTCGAGATCATAGGATCTTGAGTTTAGAACTGAAAGAAATCTCGAAGGTCATCCAGTCCAGGGCTTCTCCTGGGGTCCATGGATCCTCAAGGGGTCCATAAATAGATTTCAAGGGCTCTATAAACTTCTATGGGGGCAGGGGGAGGAAATTACGTCTTTATTTCACTATAATTGATTTCCTTTTTGCCTGGCACACAGTGGGTGCTTAATAAATGCTTATTCCCTTTCCTAATCCTCTGTATTTTATTTTGTGTATTTAAAAGGATTGTTCTGAAAAGGAGCCCATAGCTCAATGGGTCTTGCTTTACAAAACGAGGAAACTGAGGCTCAGAGACACTAAGTGATTTGGCCAAAGTCGTACAGCTAGTTGATTTCAGAATCAGCACTAGAAGTAAGTCTCCTGACTCCTAGATTAGGGGCCTTTCCTTTACAGCACACTTATTCTTTACTTGTGCCCTACTATTGTTCACGGTTTAAGGGTTTCTCTGAATCACTGAGGCTCAGATCATGGCAAATGGAAGCGTTAAAAGCTGATTCCTCACCGTGAGCGATAATTCATTGCTCGCCACATGGCCTCAACTAGTTGACTTCAAGGTTGGAATGGTGGAATTGCCAGAGGGCCCTGCATAAATGTCCTCTGGCAGCTGCTTCCTTTATGATGTCAGAGAAGAATCTGTAAAAAGGGCCATACACCCAGTGCCTTTACCAAGTGATATCCCTCACAAGAGCCAATGAAGCATGCTGGAGAGGGAGGTTACGACATAAAATTACTCACACTTCCCAGGAAAGCTACGTAACCTTAACACACACAAGTATATTCAAGACCCCACCCCCTACCACTTCCAGATAGCCAAACATTTTGACATCTGATCATTGTCAGGCTTGTCTGGCCCTAAGGTAAATACTCTGTTAGGGGAATCTAATTAGCTGTCTAAACCAAGTAAGGAGATGGATTATTGCTGTTCAGTCATTTTTCATTGGTGTCCAACTCTTCATGACCCCATTTGGGGTTTTCTTGGCAAAGATACTGGGTGGTTTGCCATTTTCTTCTCCAGCTCATTTTACAGATGAGGAAACTGAGGCAAACAGGGTGAAGTAACTTACTCAGGGTTACACTGGGACGCACAAGTGTATGAGGCCAGATTTGAACTCATGAAGGCGAGTCTTCCTGCTTCCAGGCCTGGCATTCCACCCACTGAGCCATCTATCTGCAAGGAGATGGATTAGAATGATAGAATAATCATAGAAGGTTAGAGAAGATGACCTTGGAGATCATTTAGCCCAATCCCCTCATTAAGTGTGGGAAATTATAAGAGCTCTTTGTGGAATACAGAACTTTATTACTCTACTATTGAGCTTTGCATCCTGACCCAAAGACCACATTTGTTCCTTGAACTCTGGGTAGATACCGAATGAAACACTTGACTGCCTGGCATCTATTAGCAACACTAGGCATACATCTTAAAATGGCCACTCGAAGCACTTTATCTGAGTAAGCTATAAGGTGGTACTCAAGAATTGAGCAGCCTCTCCTCCCCATTGCCCAACTGGGCATGTGTGAACTCCTGATCTACCCTAGGCTTGCAATAGCTAATCAGGCCACTGGGTGGTGCTCAAAGCTTGAACTACTAAGCTTATTTATTTTGCATGTGTGCACATATCACCACAGCCTTTTTCCAGGGCTCTTATTTAGGGATATTGCTGTTGAAATAATAACTCATTCATCTCTTTTGGATCATTTTGTCTCTATCTAGCTAGATTCTACACTCTTGTTTTCCATTCTCATCATAACCCTGAAGACCTACCCATTCATATATAGATTAAATGGAATTTTTACTAAAGACCAAAGCAACAGTTGACTTTAAGCTCCCTAACAGCTAGTAGTTGCTCCTATTAAGCTTAGTCTGCATTTTTAACTCTCCCCTTAAGTATCAAACATCATTGTTTCCCAAAAAAGGCATCCTTGAAGCCTTCTGTAGGGAAACCCTTTCAAACCTCCTGGTTTTCGGAGTCTTATGGGGAAAGGTGCAAATGGTTCTACTCCATGGCGTGATTCCCAAGTCATCACCATTCAGAACTCCTAGGTAGCCCTCAGCTGAGTCCAGCCCAGACTTGGATTCTGGGGCTAAGAGGCTTCCCTCAAGGCAGCCCATGTGTCAGCATCTTTTCACCATTTTCTCCCAACGTCCCTGTCAGTCAACATACCAAACTGAACTCAGCCATTTCAGCCCCAGGAAGACCAGAGAGCAGCCCAGTGACTAACGCAATAGGAGGGTGTCCTCCATATTTTTAAAGACCTTCAGTTGTATGACCTCTTGTGTGACCTCTTCTCTTCCATTAATAATTAACCTTACGAGGTTATTCAGTCCTACCTTTCCAACATCTCTCTGTGGCCCAGAAATTAAGGGGAAAGCCCAGTGCCCACTGCCAGCTGAAATAAGGGCTATTTCACTGAGTAATTACCACTGTTTGATTCTGATTCCAAATCCTGTTACTGATCTAGACACTGCCTACTGCGAAAATCTAGTCCCACCTCCACGAATCCTTCCCTCACTTGTCTCTCACACATATACACATACACACACACACACACACACACACACACACATTCTAGTATGGTAGTGTAAAAAATGGGGATTTTTATCCCTATCCCTATTCACGTAAACACAAAAGGCCCAGACTTCTCAACTGAACACCAATCAAAGTTGCAAACTTGGTGTGAACAAATCCTTGATCAGTTTTGGAGGAGAGAAGTAGTTGGGTTATTGGATGAAAGCAGATGGCTGAACCACAGGAAATACTTTGTGATGGGACCCTGTGTTTTATATAGCAAGCCCATAGAGGGGCCTGATCCAGCAGGGAAATAATCAAGCTTCAGGAGTTTCCAGGCAGGAGGAGGCAGATCCTCGTGCCTGTACAAGAAGGGAACAAGGTTGGGAGCTACACTCCTCTCTCATTGACCCTGTCACTGAAGAGACTGAAACAGTAGACAACAAGGTAACCAACCTAAAGCAGAAAGAGATGCACTAAGGACAAACATGGAGAAACATCACAGACAGATTAAGAAAGACAGGCATCTTAGAGAGGAAATTGCTTCAAGACTCTGAGACTCTTGAACCAGAAAAAAGAAAATGTTGGCTATAGGATTTCCGGTAACCAAAAGTTGTGAATTTACCTTTGGAAACATAATCTTTACATATGTGCTTCATCTTCATCTTTTAAGTGTGTCTTCACTTTCCCCACAGACCTTGTGTGTATGTGTTGGGGAATGTGCCCCAGACTTTTGGAAGGCTGTCTTTGTACCAACTGTTCTTACCATACCTATAAGTAAATACTAGTTTCTGGCAGATAACCGATGGTAGGCATACCAGATGGGGGCTCATGGGCTGCAATATTAGAAACTCCCTCAGGATTGTTACTAATACCATTATGGGTGAAATAGTCATCTGCTCTCTAAGAGAGTCAACCTGCCAGTGCTATCGAGAATTAGGGAAATGGTCCTGAAGAGAGTGCTATACTAGCTATTCACCATGCCCAGTGTTCTATCTCCAACTCCATCTTTTCGTGCAGGAAGTTCGCCATTGTTTGAAATAATTTCCCTCCTCACCTCTGCCTAACTTCCTTCAAAGCATAGTTCATGAGACCTTTCCTGATTCCACTGCACCCTCCCCAGTTAGATGTTACTGCTCTCTCCCTCTTGAATTTACTTTGTATTAATTTAGCTGGGTACGTGTTGTATTTCCCCAGTACAATGTAAACTCCTTGGGGGCAAGGATTGTTTCATTTTTGTCTTTATGTCCTCAGTACCAAGCACTGTGCCTGGCCCACAGTGGTTGCCTAATAAAAGTTTATTGAATTGAATTACACCTTTAGTTTACTTTTCATCCTTAACTTGGTTGTGAGCTGGATGAGGAAGGAGACAATGCTTTATGCTTTTTTATCTCCCATGGTGCCTAGCACAGTGCTGGTTACACAGTAGGTACTTAGTAAATATTGACTATCTAGAGCTATCCAATAAAAATAACAACTTACATGCATTTAATAGCTCACATTTCCGAACTGCCAGAGGAGTGTAGACATTTGGGTTAAGCAGAGAGACTGGCTAAAGGAAGGAGGTGTGGGTGGTGTTCAGTGAATTCAGTTACAATGTTTTTGTTGCTGTTTCTCTGTTTAGTTGGCTGGATGTGATGCGATGGTTTCCATGGGTGGGGGTTAAAAAGCACAGCTTTCTTGGAAGGCAGTAGTCACCACATGGCCTTAGCCTACCTTCTGCTACCCAGAATTGCTCACTCCCCAAAGCCACTGTGGCTAAATGGGGAGATGCTGAACACAACCAAAATGGCTCTGCCTGATGAGATCCCCCCCTTCCCTGCCCTGTAGCCTGGAAGATCCTGAATCTAATCCTCACCCCTGTGCCTCAGGACAGTTCCCCTGTGCAGCTGAAAATGACTCCACCTAAAGCCCCCACTGATGAGATCAGCTCCAGAGAATGAGATACAGCTGTTTGGGAGAATGCCTCACATTTCTGTAGTGCGCCAAGGTTTACAAAGCCCTTTAGGAAGACTCTGCAAGTATGATTATACCCATTTTACAGATAAGGGAGCTGAGGCTCAGAGATAGGAACTCTCTAGTGGTCCCACAGCTATTAAATTTGTATCAGAGTCAAGACTCAAACCCAGGTTTCCTAACGCAGAGTTCTAACTCTTTCTACTAATCATGCTCACCCTCTCTGCCTAGTATAGGGGAGATGTTCAAGAAGACACATTCAGTAACTAGAATTCCTTTCTCCCACCTCTGGTCGGGAAGTCCACAGCAGAAGCCCAAGGAAACTTTCACCGGGCTTCCAGCCTCAGCCCTACAAAGGCCTTCAGTCAGCCAGCAGAGGGGCAAACAAGAGAGGCTTTCCCCAGCTGGGCTGGTCCTCACCCAACCCCAGGCTCCCTCTTTGCTTACTCTAGCTGAGGGTCACCTAGAAACAGAGGAGACTGATCAGCAGCTGAATAGGGTGTGGCCCAGTACCAGTCCTTCTCCTTCCTCACTCCCCCCTCCTCCAAAAGCAGCTGTGATGGATTGTGGCCCCTGGTAGGGGGGAGCACCTCTGACCCCAGTTCAAATTCCCCAAGTGGAAGTGGGCTCTTCTCTCTCCAGGGAACTGCACAGTGCCTGACACATAGTAGGTGCTTAATGAATTCTTGGTAAATGACTGATTGATTGACTGTCCAAGATCATACAACTGGCTGGTAAATAACAGAACTAGGATTCAAACCAAGCGAGTCTGCGGCTTGAGATGCTTATGCTGCATGTGCAATCAGAGAGATTATAGTTATTTCAAACTGGAAAGAAACGTATTATCAGTTTGCAGTACAAACAGTCCCTGTCAGAGGAATTCAGAGAAGGGAGACATCACTGTGAGCTGGGGAGAAGTTAGAGGATGCCTTGAAGGAGAAACAGGTTTTAGATAAATGGAAAGGTGGTTAGGTCAGGTAGGTGGCTCAATGGATAGAGCGCCAGGCCTGGAGTCAAGAAGACTCATCTATATGCGATCAGATCCAGCTTCAGACACTTACTAGCTGTGTGACCCTGGGCAAGTCTCTTAACCTTGTTTGCCTCAGTTTTCTCATCTGTAAAATGAGCCGGAGAAGGAAATGGCAATCCTCTCCAGTATCTCTGCCAAGAAAACCCCAAATGGGGGTTGTCCAAAGAAGAGTTGGACGTGATTCAAATGACTAAAGAACAAGATGGATGTTTTGTGGGGGACGCAGTGGAAACAAAGGCACAGAGATGAAGAATGGTTATGAGGGGCAATGAGTAAACCACCCAGAGGAGAGCGTCCCGGGGAGATCTGAGGGAGTTAAGGATAGCTGGGCCAACGTGTGGAGGATCTTGAAAGACAAGCAGAGTAGTTTAGAAATAGAATGATGAAAGTAAGATTTTGGGAGGATTAGTGGTGGAGTCATAGAATAATATAGATATCATTAGATAGATAGATAGATAGATAGATAGACAGATAGATAGATGGATGGATAGATAGATAGAAGGATAGATATCAGAGCTGGGAGGGACCCTAAAACACAGGATGCCAGAGCTAGGAGGGACCCTAGAACACAGGATGCCAGGGACCCTAGAACATAGGATGCCAGAGCTGGGAGGGACCCTAGAACACAGGATGCCAGAGCTGGGCAGGACATTATAACACAGGATGTGTCAG